AGCGTCAAACACATGGGCAGCGCTCTATAAATATATGTTAAATCAGTGAGTGATCCACAGCTTTTAATTTAGCCAATAACTTCAACTTCCTCCTTCTCCTACCTCACCCACATTTTCTTCTAAAACTCCTGCAATTAATACAACTACCCCATTTGAATTTAATTTTTTTCCTTCTCTCCTTGCCCAATTATAGATGGATATGAGCTAATGAAAAGATGAACACTGTGAGAGTCACTAACAAGAAAGGAAGAAATGCAGTGACTCCCATTAACTAGTATAACTGATACTAGAAGCCTAGATACAGACATACTCAGTGTCCTATAGAGTCAGTTACTATTCTGCAAGAATAGCATTCTTAACAGTCACTAATCTCTTCTGATCTGTTCATGTTTATATCATTTGGTTCATTTCAGACTTGAAGTCAGTTGAAGATTATCTGGGACAACTTTGTAGAGAATCTCAAAATTCCAATGGAATACTTTAGACTTCTGCCCCAATTATGAAGTCAGCTTTTAGATTTGTTCATACAAATCAAATGATTGTATACTTTCTAGAGTTGTAAACATAATAATGACTCTCTTTGTATATACAGTTCATATTTTGCATGTGCATTTTTCACCTGCTTCAAAGGGACTTTTCCAGATATTTCATTTGGCATATTGAAAATGTTTCCACCTGGTAATGTTAGTTGAATGTAATGGTAAATATATGTCATTCTTTGCCTTCCATTGGGCTCCTTCAGTGTCTGTGTGTGTGAGATTATGGACAGAATTAGATGTTATTTTACAGTTGAGCTACAACTATCCAAGTTCTAAATAACAGCTATGACAAACCCCATGGGGGAAGATTCCTAATAATTTTCCAAGTTTTCAGTGTTAGTGACAGGTTTCATGCGTACACTCAGCTATTAAAGCATTAGAATTTCTTTGATTTCTTAATCATTAACAACTTTAGCTTTGATTGCCCATGGAGTTGCAAGCTGTTAAAATTATCATTTGCCTCTTACTAATTCTGAAACCTGGAGCAGTTTCTTCATTTGATGTAGTACAGATCTTTCTCAGAGCACACACAATTCAGGAGCACTAAGAATCTATAAAAGAAAATATAACCTAAAAATAATTTATAAAATAAATGGGGGTAGAGGGAGAGAATTCTCTTAAGTACCAGAGAGTTCAGTTTTTTTAAGGATTCAACAAAGTATTATTTTTCAGTAGAAGGCATCTCTGGCTTTCACAATTTAGTATAAAAAATGGTGTTATTTTCTGAAGATGGTAGAGAGGCAGAAAATCGGAAAGCTGTATTTCAATGCTAAATGGTCAGCTAAAATTCAACCAGAGTTACAATAATATTGGATCATCTTATAAGTCAATAGAATAGAAAAAAATATCATGGAAAAATTCTCTTTATACACAGCCTTTTCAAAATCATATCCCTACAGTGCTTTACCCATAATAGGTGATCAATAAATATTTATTAAATTGATGATATATATTAAGATCAATTGATGATATGATAAAATGAAATGTTACCTTGAACAGTAATTTATTCATTCATTGTCATCCCTTCAGAGATACTTATTTACCTTCCAAATGTAGTTTTTATTGGGAAAAAATTGAAAATTGATAGCTTATTTTATAAAAAATGACTTTTGCCCTAATTTATGGATGTACTTCTACAATGTTGGGCTGAAGGAATTTGTATCAGGCTAGGAGGCTCCTATAGACTAGATCTGTACAGACTGTTTAAGAAACATCTGAGAAGCAAATTGTAATAATCAATCACTAAGCCCCATATGCAAAGATTTTGTTGGATATATCTACGGTGAGCCTAGCATGTGAATTTTCTGGAAAGCTACCCAGATAACTGATACACAAATAGGTTTTGAAACCTAATAGAAAATAATACCATGTATAACTGATTCTTCTCAGAAGAATCAGTTACTATAGATATTTGTTTAGCCTGTTTTTTATGTGACTATTCTTGACTTCTGTTAAACTCCTTCCTTCTCTGGGAAGACCCAACCCTCTGAAGTTATGGTAGGGAAATGATATCTTTCCTTAGAGCATCAGGAAAATAAACATTAGCTTTCCTCATCCAATATTCTGATTTCTGAGGGTTTTTTCTAAGTATTAGTCCACTGCCTTGTAGTGCACTGTGGATATGCCACTACATGATTTATTAAAGCAGGAGAAGCAGAGACTACACTATGTGGAAGTTCTCAAGCTCACAAGCTTACACGAGTGCTACTCTCATATATGAGCCATATTTCTCCCTTCTGAGTCATTCTTTATGGCACAAACCTCCCAAACTTGCCCCCACATCTTTCTCTGAGGAGCTACAACATACAGTTCTGGCTACAGTGATCCTGTTGATAGGACAACCAAGAATGGATACACATAGTGCCTCTTTGCCCAGTCCATTCAATCCACTATCCACCTTGGTACTCTAACTTTTATGGTTAGAATAAAACCACTCATTTTCTAGTTCTGGCTATATTTTTTTTATTCACCTCTTCTATATAAGATTTGTTCTTAGATAGTGACCTGCACAGTTCCCCCAGAATTGACAAGTTATTTCCTTTTTTCCTACAAGCTTATCGTCATTGTTTTCCATCTCTTCTATAATGTAGTATACCTCTAATCAATGTTTTCCACTCAATATCATTATTACTAAGCACAATTATGCTTTAATTTTAATGTGATTTTGACTGCTTGTTAAAAATATAATCTCTTTCCTTTAGCAACTTCTACTATCTACATCTTTCTAAGGAAACAGATAATTTTGCATGTAGGCTACAGGCTTGCTAAACACTATATGCAAATAGATTGTGATATAGCATCTGTCCTCTGAAAACTTACAGTCTAAGAATACATGTCATTTCTCTCTATGGTTAAGTTCCACTTGTCCTTGATTTTGGTGCCCATTAAGCATCTGTAGTATACTAGATGCAGTGTAGAACAAGGAAACTTGATAAAGCATATCTGGGCAAAGTCTCATAATTACTCTCTAATCTTATCTTATAACTTAATGTAATTGGATTCTATAGGAAATATTTGCATATTCTCTTCTCTAGAGTAAATAACTAAAATCCCCTTAGCCAATTTTATTTATTAACTCTTTGAATCCCAAACACCATTAACTTAATTGAAGAAACATGGTTAAATAAATTTAACCTGTTAGTGATTTAAAATTTCATAGCTGAAAAAGGAAGGCTCAAATCAAATGAAACCTGGAATGGATCAATGCGGACAAAAGCATCCCTAAAAATATCCCTTAAGAATAAAATCATTCAAATCTTACAAAACAGAATGGTTAGCAACTGCTCCCCCACATAAGTACTCAAAGTATTTGTTTCACCAAGAATTTTTTTTCGTCTCTGACATGAATCTTTAAGGAGGAAAAAGACATTAGAAAAACATCCAATTTTTCATAAATGGCCCTTAAAGCACATCACAGTACTAACCCTTCTGTCATATCTTGGTATGACCCCCAGTTGAATAGTACTTTCAGATTTTTTTTATCAAACAAAAGAATAGGTTTGAGTTCCTTTAGGTCATTGGAAAATAGCAACTAACATTTTGGTGGTATGGGGTCATCTCAAAGATGAAAACAAGAATGAAGTGTGTTGAATGCTTCTTTCACCCTGTTCATCTTCTGGCTTTATTTCTGCTTTTTCATAGTTCTTTGTGAGATCCTGTCACCTAAGAAATAAATGTAAATGTCATTGTGAGTGACTGGAATTTTTTTGTTGGAAGTTGCATTTATTGAAGTTATAATTAATAACACTCAGTATTAAATCATTTCCTAAGACAACCTAAGCATCAGTTTATATGAAGTTTCACTAGGTCCATTTGTTGCATAGCTGTGGTCAGAGGACAGGCATCTTTGAGTATATCCTATTCATGTATTAGCGACATTGTTAGTCACAAAAACTATGATCTTAATATAAGTGTCTGGATGGTGAGAACATTAGGTAGTCTTGTTTACAAATAGAGTTAGAAATGGGGAGAAAAATAGAAGAACAAACATACAGTGAATGATGCTGTCTAGGTAATAAGCTTATTGTAGATTTTAATTTTTTCTTATGTTTCTGCTTTCCTAAATTTCTAAAACAAATGAAATCTTAGAAAAAGGGAAAATTATAGTTGCTGCCTATTTCTTATTTTTTATTTGCTTATCCAAGGAGATTTGCCCTGGTTTTTTTTTTTTCTTTTTCGTATCTGGTATTTCACTTTCAAGAGTCTATCCATCTTGCCTGTCCTGCTGAAGAATGTTTTCTGTCTTAGCAGTATTGGAAAGTTCTTGAGTTTGTGTGACTAGGACCTAAAAATAAATACATAACCATAGCTGACTTTGTTTCTTTTTCCTTTTAACTTAACCTAAATTTGTAGATGAGTTTTGCATGTATTTTGCTGCAAGCTGATACTTATGATCTTTCTATTTGCAGATGTGGATAGGAGTCAAGGGAGATGAATGTGTTGAGATGCATGGGAAGCTTTAGGAGATATGGAAAAACAGTAAGGTAGAGTTTTTAGGTGGAATCATATTTTGGAGATATTAACTGATCAAAAGCCATTTATCAATATTTCTCAGGCCCTAGATCCTAGATTTTAGTTCAGATTAAAGTCCTAATATATTTAAAATGTTTCTCCCTTGATCCATTGGCTGCTAAAAGTTATGTTCAAACCATATATTAAGACTGTAATAATGGACATTGTCACTGCTGTCCAACGAAATATCTCATAACTCTTTTATTCTTAGACAAATTTCTGAATTTTCAAAAATGGGTCCTTTTCATAAGCCCCTTCCCTCTTTTTTTTTCCACAACTGAGAAAATGTCTTTATCTCAACATGATGATACTGTAAAGGAAAAATTATCCTACAACTATCATGAGACATTAAAGAAGATAGAATAAAATGAAATGCCTTAGGAGTTTTGTGTAGTGCAAAAAAGCAAGGAATAATTTGGTTTATTTTTTTTTCCCATCTAATATTTTTAGGTACAAGCCTATGCAGAAAGTGGATGGGGTTGCAGATGGTTTCACAGGAAGTGGTCAACAGACAGGCACATCTGTTGAGCAAACTGTAATTGCCCAAAGTCAACATCATCAACAGTTTTTAGGTATGTTAAGGTGTAATGCATATTAGTTGCTATTAGGATTTTGAAAACAAGAGAACAATAGTAGTGTTTTCTCCAAATACCATGTCTATGACAGATGTTAATTACATAGAAAGATTTATATTGTGTGCTGAAACTATGCACATCATATGATAGTTCTAGTTTATTTCCACTTTATCATGTTCACTAGAGCTTATTTTTAAAAATCTCAAGCTGTGTAGGACTTCTGAATGCATATGAATTAAAGGCTCATTGCTATGAAGTTGTTTCCAGAATATGTATTAATTGGACTTTTGTCATCAAAATTGTGTTGTGTTTACTTTCAGTAGTAATTTCAAGCACCAAAGAGTTCTCATTTCCTGTGCATAAAATTGCATATGCATACAGTCTCAGATTAGAAAGCAAAAAATATTATGAACTTTTAAAATGCAGTTTATTCTTGAAATGATCACAGTGCTTTCTATTTTTGTAATTTTATTGATGGTATACGTGTTTCTTATTATTTAAAGAGTTAGGAAGTAGAACTTGAACATTTTGCATGTTCCTATCATGGCTAAAGGTAGCAAAAATGGCACCTTGATTTAACTGACAACTTTTCTAGAGATAAACATACAGTTTCCATACAACAGATCAAGATAAGTGGAAGCTATCGGAGTGTGTGTGTGTCTGTGTGTGTGTATATGTGTCTATGTGTACTTTCTGACAAAAACAACTAAAATGGACTCTCAGGTTGAATAGCTACTGAAGTCAAAAACATTACAGCAGTATTTCCCAAACTGAAGTCCTCAAGTATATGCTTGTAGACTCTTGAGCTCTCAACAAGGATTTTTATTTTTTTATTTTGTGCTTTTATTTTAATTATCATCTAAAAAAAATAAAACCATATTCTGGATTATCTGGAAGACTAGAACAAATACTGTTCTGAAATTTTGGTTCCCACATCTGTATTTGAGTTTATAAGGCAGGCACCAAAGTGTATTGCACTAATTGTCCAGAGCTCATGAGAACAGAACAGAGACTTACTATGTAAATTACATAAATTATGTAATTCATCCCAAGGGAAGGCTAAATGATGTCCCAGTGCTCTGTGTGGAGGAAAGTTTCACAGCCCATGTGAATATAGAAGAGTAATAGGAGGACCAGCCACCATGAAATGAGTCACATTTTGGTATAGGCCTGTCTCACTCAAAAGATTCTGTACTGCAGCAGACAATACCATAGTCACATGCTGCGAGAGGTAATTTAGTTATGGGACAAGCACATCACCCATCATACCAAGTTAATGTTGTTAAGTTTAATGGTTACTTTTGTAGATTTTCTTAAAATTTGTTTTGTAATTCGTTTGGTTTATGATTATGTAAGAAGTACAAGCATAATGAGTTTAAAGCTAGATTTATTTTTTATATATTTAAGTAGCATAATAATATGCTACTTAATACTGGCTAGCTAGAGATATTTTTCTTTAATGGGGGCTTTTTATTGAGAGCCCCTGTGATATGTTATTCCTAGAATAATTGTGGTGAATATTTAGTTTCCCCAAAATTTTAGGAGTATTTCCTGTATTCTCTTGTGCTGTGATGTTGCCAGGTTTTGTTTGCAAAATACTAGTATGAAAAGTCCTTGCTCTTTGGACATTTGACCTTTAAATATTTTTCCTTTTTCAGTCTTGTTAACTTTTCCCTCATTAATGTGTATGTAATTGGCACCATTCACAATAGCTTTTTCTGTTGTGTTGTCATGGTAACAGATGCATCTCGAGCACTTCCAGAGTTTGGAGAAGTTGAAATCTCTTCTCTGCCAGATGGTACTACCTTTGAGGATATCAAGTCACTGCAGAGTCTTTATCGAGAGCACTGTGAGGTAAGTCTTTTCAAACAAAGTACAAACACATGCTAAGTTCTGCCAGATAACTTGCTGAAACGAAATAATCAAACTTATTCCTAGAAGACAGATGAGCCCTAGTAAGTTAATTTTTCTCTTTGTCTCAGACTGGAGAATCAAGGAAAGCAGAAAAAGGTCTCCCATCTTCTTAGCTTCTCCTAATATGAATCCTGTAATGCAGAAATGCTGCTTCTATGTATTTCTCTTAGTAAAATGCTTACATATGGGTGAAGAGAAAGTATACAAGGGGACCTGTTGCATTACTGTTTTTAATGCAGAAGATTGGTTATGACATCAATATCTAATAAGGAACTGAATAAATAAAATATGGTAATATAATGGAATAATATGAAGCCATTAAAAGGAATAGGAAACTCAAAATGTACTAATATTGAATAAGCTCCATGATTTATTTTTAAGGGAAAAGCAATATAGGTAACAGTGTGTATAGCCTGCTGAATAAAAAAGAACATGTATGCACATTTCTCCAGAAGAAAGGACAAAATGTTAATGGTGGTGGCTTTTGTGAAGGAAACTGGGTGACTGGGAGGGGAAAGAGACTTAATTTTTCTATATATCCTTTTTACCTTCTGAATTTTATACCATAATGAGTATTTCTATCAAGCATATCACTTTGGGTGTTCCTTGTAGAGATCATGAGGCTCTAGTTTTGTGTTGGTGGTTAATTATGGTTTCTCTTGGTATTTTCCAATGCTACTCCTACTCCCTTTCTGAGTATCCCACATCCAAATTGCCTACATTGTCCCTAGAAGGTGAACTCTCTCACAGCCAGAATGTTGAGGGACCTGCCACTCACCTGGTAGAAAGGGATAAGGGATTGCAATTAGAAATTTAAGTGCCTCTCCTTTTGAAAGAGGAGTCTGTTTAGAATTAAAGTAGCTTTATTCCAGGGCTATGTGTGATCTACTTAAGAGTAAAAGATAATCCTTTGGATTTCACGGGCAGTCCTTCTTTCTGCTGACAGTGCAGTATATAGTGGGAAGTCGCAGCTCATAGCATTCACAGATTTTTTTTTCCACTCCAGAAATAAGAACTGCTTGAGTGAATCTGAGTGCTTGTCAAGGGTGCTAGATTATTAACAACCAAGAGAAGTTCTCTCTTTATTAATAAAGCATGTACCAGAAGTATTTTTCAACATGTCCTGACAGTTTGTTCTGGACATTTCTTGGATTGATGAAAGGTGCTTAATATTTATCTCTTTCACTAGTGTGCTTTTCCCTATATTAGAGAATTTCTGGATGGTCCTCACATATCTAGAAAAAAAATACTTCTTTCTACATGAATATCATGTATATTCAATCAAGACATATAAAGATTCTCTAAGCAATTTCTTATTTCTCTGTGTTCAGGTGAACCTTGCTTTAAGCAAATGAGCATACATAAATATAATTTGGACTTTTTAAAAATAGTTTCTCATATTTACTCAAAAATATAAGCTGGAACATTATTATTTACATTAATAAAGAATATGTAGTAAGATTATTCTAAGTGAAAAATTCCCCCAGTGAGATGAAAATATGCTTGGGACTACAAAATTTTCATTCACATACCAGTTTTCAGGAGTGCTCCATAGGAAGAGATATGGATACATGCAGTAATAAATCTATGTGAGAAATAGCAGTCCATAAAATGACCTCTATTTATTTCAGAGTTACCAGTATTCATGCCATCTCTTGAGGGGCATAGTGATATATACAAAAAAGAAGAATTCTAATTATTTTTCCCTGTCAAACTTTCAAAGTTTTGAAGTGCAGGTACCTGAGTCTCATATCCAGTTCTGTAAATAGTCATTTGCCCTAAACCAGTAGAATATGGATTATTTTTAAATGTATTTGCCTATATATTTTAGTCTGAATGTATTTGAAAGTAGGTGGGCACATGATAAAATGTTTTGTTCATTTGTAAAGCTGCCTCAAAGGAAGCTGTTGTGAATGTCCTTTTCAAAAGAATTATTTGCATTTAATTTGAAAAGACTGAGTTTAAGATGCACTGAATTCTTTATCTGATTTTATTTCATATTTCCTATATAGTGGGAAAGATTGCTATACCTATTTTGCCTGTTATTTGTAATTCTCAGTTTGTTTATCCAAGATATTTTGTAAGTATCTCTAGTTTGTTATGTAAGGAACAGTATAATGTCCAATAGAAGTTCCTGCAGCAGTAATTTTTTTTCTTTTAACATAAAATAGTGTTCTTATAGCAGTCTCATAGATGGAGATATGTAAGGTATTATGTAAGATATTAGTAGTTGCTTCATTAATAGATGTCTCTTAGAATGTGCCTTAACTACAGTTTAGAAAGCAATCTCATAGCTACAATTTAGAAAGCAGCAAGAATAATTTGCCTCTTGAAAAGGTTTTGAATTTTGCCAGGGAGGAGAGCCATCTATATGCCCTTCATTTTCAAGGCTTACACTTATATTTTTATTGCTTCTGATATTAGAGCATGAGGAGTGAGTTAATTAATTTGTCCCCTATCCTTCATTTTTGTTATCCAACTACTTGCAACATTGTCTACCAGTTCCTAGAACATACCCACCCAGACAGATTTTGCTTAGTATTTGAATTGGTAGCAGGGTGTCTTTGAATAGAACATCAGCTATTATTTGCATCATGTATAGGGCCAGATCTGCACAGGAAGCACAGCCTCTAGAATTATGAAGTTGGGGTTTCTTCTTTTTGCCTAATACAGTCAGACTGACACTCCTGACTGCCCCTGTTGTTACTTACCTTCTATAAATTTTGCAGCCCTTGATGGGGCTGTTTTACCTGTCATCCTCAATGGTGACAACACCAAACACATTATGCTGATGATTTCTGTTTTTTTTTATTTTTTACTCAAAATAACCACAGAATCATTCATTCTTTGTACAAGCAAGTTATTCTGTGGTTTTATAACTGCTTTTATCTGAAGGCAAATTTACAAACTAATTTCAATGGCAGGCTGAAATTAAATATGATCATCAAAAGTGAACAAAAATGGTAAATTCTAGCATCATCAAAAAAAATGTCCTTGATGCAGCTGGAAAATGGTTCTAGGAAATAAAATTAAGGAGAAGGAGGAGGCAAGGCCCCCACTGGCAAGGTTAGAAAAGGGGATCGTATTAAAGTTGCTCTCTAAAGGGAGTGAACAGAGAGAGGATTGAGCGGAAAGCACTGCATAACTAAAGACAGACTTGTGGCGCCCTATTCTACCCAGACAAGTGCCATCCTCTGAAGGCCAGCCTAACTCTGGTTTCTGCCCCAGCCTCTGGTTGGCTGGTGACATCTGGAATCCACCTGGACCAAGGGCACCAGGGCAGCAACCTGGACCAAGCTGATTTAGCCCTAGCTCCATCTGCCTCACACAGGCACCCCTACACTGTTCACTCTGGCCTTTTCTGAAGTCCAGTGCACACACCTAGCCCAGTGAAGGCCGATGTGAATTGAATCTGTTCTGTGCCCATCTGGGTCTGAGTATAGGAAAAATGGCAGCAATTGTGGAGGTAGAAGGAACCAGTGGATAAAGAAGTGGAAGAAAAGCAAGAGAAGTAAACGGAGAGGAAGGGAAGCAGGCATGAAAATGGAGAAAAAGAGACATAAAAGTAAGAGTGGGACACAAGTTATCTTGCATAATCTTTCAAGTGTTATTTTTTCCTTTTCCCCGCCCCCTAGCTAATCTCTCTTGTTTCCCTACTTCCACTGGCAAAATTTAGTCCAGTTTCAACATAGGAACATATGAGGCCAAAGATATTTTTACCATTTAATTCCTGTTACAGTATGTGCACCTCACACACACCCCCATAAGAAATATAAAGTAATACCAATATATTACCATTTTGGTTTTTAGGCAATATTGGATGTTGTTGTGAATCTTCAATTTAGCCTGATAGAAAAATTGTGGCAAACATTCTGGCGCTATTCTCCCTCTACTCCGACTGATGGCACTACCATTACTGAATCAAGGTCAGAATCAATGTGCTTTTCCAATTCATTTTCATGGCTGAGTAGATGTCACAGCTAATAAATCAGAGATATGTATACCAGTTGTGAACCTTACCTGATAACATTAAATGAATAGATTGAAGTAAACCGCAAACTGCTCTCTTGAGGTTTCAGCGTGTGTATTGTAGCTCCCATTTTTATTGATTTGGGGGACTGCGGTAGAGCTGTTTCATCCTCATGGTTAGTATCATATCTGCCTTTCATACCGTCAGAAAGTATTAATGTGCACAGGCAGCTCTGGGGGCATGTTGTATATATCCTGCCTTATGGCACCAGTGCAATGGTGGTATAGCTCTAACCTCAGTAATATTTGGTAAACTAAAACTATTTTTAAAGTCCATTTTCTTTTTTATCCTCATTTGCCATCTATTCATTTGCTACATTTATTCACACCAGCAATCTGAGTGAAATAGAAAGTCGACTTCCGAAAGCAAAGCTGATAACTCTGTGCAAACATGAGTCTATCCTGAAATGGATGTGTAACTGTGACCATGGGATGTACCAGGCTTTGGTGGAGATTCTCATCCCCGACGTGCTTAGACCTATTCCTAGTAAGTTAAATGCAGACAAGTGCTGATGCTTTTGTTCTCATACATTCCGCCCAGGAAGTTTTGGGAAGTGATGTTGCAATCTAGAGTGATTCTAATCTCATTTAAATTTGCTAAATAGAAAACATGCAACACAGAGTATGTCATGAAGGCGGCCTAGAACAAAACTGTAGAAGTAGAAAAAGGAGAAAATTTTTCTGTTTTCCAGTCTTACAGGGCTTTTTGTTTGTTTGTTTGTTTTATAGAAAAGACAACCTATAGATTGACAGCCCCAGTGACTAATTGCAGGAATCCTCCCAGGCCAGTCAACCATGTAAAATTTACCCTATCCAAGGACGCAGTTTCCTTTGTAAAGCCAAAAGTTTTTGAAATCTGAATTGCTGGGCCTGCCTCTTGTCATGGTTGCTTTTGATTTGAAATAAGTTTTTCTTGGTTTCCACTGAGCTTGAATTCCCTTATAAAAGCATTTATTTTGTCACCTGTATCATGTTAAGAACTGCAAATGCAGTTTCCATTAACAGTAATGGAACTGGCAGTTTGAGAGAAAAATCTATGTAACTACACAAGCATTGTATTCCCACCATGAAGCAAATAGGAATTACATAGATAAGTTAGATTACTTAAAGTGATGGTGCATTTTAAACTACCTTGTAGTGTACAAAACTATTTTCTGCAAGTGTCAATATAAACACTACACAGATACTTATATTAGAAGCGGTTGAAACAATTTTATTCCTTACATTCTTATGAGCATATATTAAGTAACCTTAACTTTTAAAGAAATAGAATAGAATTTCCACTCCACAGTGACATTAATGAGGTAAAAACAGTCTTTTAGCTTGTGAAATGGGCAACCGAGTACTCCAAGTACACTTTTCAGTTGATTTAAGTTAAATTATTCTAGAAAAATTTTAAATAGGGACTTAGTAGAAGAAAAGGTGAACATATTGGCAATTGTATGTTTATACTGTATGTTTTCAAAATATGAGAGTAGTGGAAATAAGTGCTTTCATATGTACACACCACTTCAGAAGATATGCTTAAACACTCATTTACATATAGTATCAGTGAGCACACAATAAATTTCTATAGAAAAAAAAATTCATCTGTCGTTGCCTCATGTTTTTATAAATTACTAATGTTTTCTGCTCTATCTGCACCAAGTTTTCCTGACCAAAATGGTTTAGGAGTGATGTTGTCATGGAAAATTTCAGTTTATAAATTCTCCACTGGTTTATGTTCCAGAATCTGATTTTCCTTATTTTTTTTTCTTGCTCTCTGTGCTCTGAATGATAATCTCTAGAGATATTTAAGAGAAGTTGTATAGAGTAGCTCATTAGCCTATGACATCTTGGCACCAACATACAATTTCTCTCATGAGATATGGAAGAGATGTCAGTGAGCACTTTCTGTTTTGAGGTAAATAACATAAGTATTCATTAAGGAATCTTAAAATCTTTACTTCTATGTTAGTACCACAAAATTTGTGAACTCAATAGTTTCCTAATTTAAATCATGTTTTGATTTTAATACACTTTAAGCCCCATAATTTTAAGTACACAATACACTTGACCATTTTTTCTTGCACTTTTTGATTTGAAAACCAATTTATTCTATCAAGTAGTTTGTTTCTACATTGAGCAGACAACTCACCTTCAGAAATTTTCATGGGTGTAGTTTTATAGTTTCTCTGAAATTACAAGATACGCTAATGTGCAACCCTACAAAGTATATTTGGAAATCATTGTATAACAAAACTTAACAAAAAAAAGCTTAAAATACAGTTTAGATAGCTATCTTCTGATTGTACATATTTTAATATTAATTGTGAGCAGGTTGAGACAAGTTAGCTTTGGAACAGTTTTGAATTTCAAACCATCCATTCATGAAAAAAAGTTGTCAGAGTCAGTCTGCACAATTTGATCTGACATGAATTCCTACAGAGAGAGCAAACTTAATTTTATTTTTAAAAACTGTATTTTCCTGGCTACTAGTACTTCACTCTACCACTTACTGTCCAAATGGGATTCCTTTTTTTAGCCAAAAAAGTCTGCATATCACACTAATTTAAAGTCAGCTTGAAACTACTGTATTCTAAAATACATTTATCTGAAAATAAAAAAAGGTTAAGTGTAAAGAATTATATAAAAAATCAACTGGTAACACTTAAAATGTACATTTACAATCATATTTAAAGTAGGCCCAAAATGTCAGTTAGTGCAAAATAATAAAAACTTATCATCACTTGATACACAAACTTATCTTTTTATTTTAAAAATCACCCCAGCATCAAATTTGTCTAGATAAAACAAGGCCCATGTTAAATATTTTTTAAAGTAACTTTCCCTTATTCTTGTTTTTCTCTCAATGAAATAATTATTGTATATTAACTGTAGAAAAATAAAAAATACAGATAGCCAAATTTAATCTCTTAACAAAATTTCACTGAGTTTTAAAAAGGTTGTTAATTTTTTTCACTCTTTTTCATTTCCATTCATGCCTGCCCTCCATGGTTCTAGTACATAATACAACAGAAAAAATTCTCTCTTTTTTTCTTTTTTGGATAAACTGGGAAACTTTGGAAATGTTAAAAGATTAGTTCTCAAGAAATTTCTAACTCAGCATTTCCAGTGGATGGTTCTCATGGTTAAGATATACTTGAGTGATTTTCCTAATCAAAATTTAGCCATTCTCTCTTCTATCATTTGACCAGTTCAGTAAATCATTAAAAAAATTCGTGGTTTTTATTATTAGATTAATAAAATTTGTATCTTTTGAAAGAAACTTGAGTAAGCTAAATCATTTCCAACCCTGCTTTAACAAAAGCATTAGAGAAGCTTGTCAGACTCATTTGAGCACAGAAGAAAAAAAATGAGGACTTTAATCCCATCATTAGCAATATTACTGGGAGCCTTGGACAAAAAATGTAATGTCTCTCTCTCTCTGTTTCTTATAGTAGATTACAAATTGTAATAACTCCCCACATTATAGAGAACCAACAGAGATTAATCTTATGTTGTGGGTGCTTCAAACACTTACTAAATGTCTAAAACTGCTCCCTACACTGTGAAGCATGGGGCACAAATGACATAAAATACTATTGACTGACCAAGTATTTGAACAAGAGAAGAATTCTGTCTTGTATTACAGAGCAGTTTCAGTAAGCAGATTCCTTCTGGTAAAATAGTCATAGTAATCCCTGATGACGGATGATGTTTCTAATCATTTTATGACCACCATAAAAGCTGCTCTCATGGGACCTCTCCCCATTTCAGGTTGTAACAGATACGTGAAGGATATGGAATGGACTATTTTAAGAATATCTTAAGAAAATTGGTCTGGGTGACATAAAGTGTAATGGAAAATAGTCATCCAAAATTTTCTAGTCAGGCAGTAATTTTAATTTTTAACCTTACTTTTCAACAAGAATGAGGGATAACTAGGCTAATTGATATGTTCTAGAGTAAACAGATACATAGAGAAGGAGAAAAGGCTTTGCATTGTTTTCTTTTTCAGTAAAGAAAGGAAAATAGATAAGAGCTTGAAAAATCAATATGAAGAATGTATAAATCCTTAGTCTTTGAGCACAAAGCTTTTAATGAAAAGTGTTTTGTCTAATATAGAATGTTCCACAAATATATTCACAACTGGTATATGTTGCTATAACAAAAATGTTTGAATGTTTTCATTTCTCAATGAAGTGTCATAAGTATCTAGGAACAAAATAACTTTAAAAGAAAAAAAACTCAAAATACAATTCTTGGATGCTTTCAAAGATAGTAATAATGTTAAATAGAGTTTTGTCAATGAGAAAAATATGAGTTCTGTGCTATTTCACATGTCACGTGTACATATTCCCATTACTCTAGCCTCAAGATTGATGTTCTTTGGTATCTTTTTCGTTCTGCTTTTCTTCTTTAACATTTAGGTGCCTTGACCCAAGCCATTCGAAATTTTGCAAAAAGCCTTGAAGGTTGGCTTTCCAATGCCATGAACAATATTCCACAGAGAATGATACAAACCAAGGTACTTTTTTATGTTTTTGCTTTCATGTTTTATGTTTTGCTGCTTCTTTAGGAAATTCTTCTGAACTGTGAATTTTATATGTCTTATCAAATGTTATCATGTAAAAATTTGATACTATAACATATGGAACCGTTGAAACTGATTTTTACATTTGTATTTTACAACTGTGTCATAAGGAACTTAGACAAGAGGTGTTGTTTGATAGTGCTCCTTTCAAAGAAGCTAGAGAAGCATTTTAAAGTGCAGCATATTTAAAAGCCCTCTTCCAAAGTATGTATTTCAATTGTTTAATCTCAAATATTAAAAGGAATAGTCTAGAGTGTTCAATTAGTTCCCATTTGAGGGAGTTTTAAACTTTGTAAATCTCTGACTTTACTCATTGTATTGTGAAAAGTTTGTGTAAATTAATACTCTTCTGCTTTCTAGGATGCTTTTCTTTTTAGTATTGGAGAATGCTTTTGTAAATCAAGTAATCATTTCTTAAAATGAAGAATTATCTCATCATCAGTGTTCATCAGGAATGTGGATTATTTAGCTGGAGATATCTAATCTCTTCTTTGTCCTCTTCTAACCATGTTACTTTAGGTTGACCTATGAACATACCCCATGGCAAGATTGGATTGAGTCTGTCCAAACTTTGGTACCAAAAATTACATTTGTGGCTTTTAGTCAAGGACTGCATTCGCTATCAGATTTCATATCAGATTCCAACAATATACTGTATCTTTCAATTTGGGGGCAGAGTTGATAGACTGAAGCTCTTATAGACAAGTCTCTTTGGGAACACATGTAGCTCTTCCTGCTTTGACTTAAGGTTGCAATAACACTTTCTATCTCTAAAGCACACAGAAAGAAACATTTCATTGATATGTCCACCTTAGATTATTACTCTAGAGCTATGCTGTCAATACACTAGGGTAGCTACATATGGCTATTTGAATTTGAACTTTAAATTAAATAAAAATTTTAGTGCCTTAGATATACTAGCTGCATTTCCAGTGTACCATAGCCCCATGTGGCTAGTGGTTACTGTATTTGGCAGCACATATATAGAGCATTTCCATCATCACAGAAGTTCTCCATGGTGGAACTATTCTCGAGTATGCATTTAGATGGACACAAAAAAGAGGAGCTATTTTATTTTATGATCAGAGGTATGATTTCCAATCTGCAAAGTCAGTCATATTCATAACAATGTCTCATATTCATAACATGTCAAACAGCTGAAAGCAACTCTCTTCCTATCAAAGAGAGATCCCTCCGTTGAAGTGGATGTGGTGACATCCAGCTGCAACACTGGTCATCTCATTGATCTCCAGAGTTCATTTGTATAATTTACCTTAGTGGAAGGGTGCCTTCTTCTATTCCTATCTCACTGATGTGCAGCCGTTTTTTGGCTGAGTATTCAATCAATAAAGACAGACTACCCTGACAGAGGAAACAGCATAATGAGGTTATACTGGCCATTGTTATCAAAATGCCAAGGTTCATATCCTGCTACTGTAACCACATTTCTGTGTAACCTTGAGCAAGCTACTTAATTAACCTCTTTAAGTTATAATATGTGTCTAATAGCATGGTTATGAGACTTGAACAAGGTAATGTATCTGAGGCACTTAACATAGTACCTGGTACACAGTGTGTACTTGATTACAGTGAACCACAGAAATGGAGAAAACTATGAGACTTTTTTGAGGCTATGAATTTCCCCAAGTTCCACATAGTCACAAAACATCTCACTATCAGAAAAGAGCATCTTTGACCTGTGACACCCTCTACTACTTGACCAACTGTTAAATCAGTTGCTTCTTAAATATATAGTGATTCAATGCCATACAATATATTCCTGTAAATATGTTAAAATGTTCATTAGATCTACTGTGCATGTAACAAGTTTCCATGACATCATGAAATTTAGCTATTTACCTAGACTTTTTGGGTGGCATTATCTGTGACATCTTTTACTGTAACCTGGTTATTTCAGGCTCTCAGCAGGAAACAAATGGGAGGAATGTTAAAGAGGTGGAGATAATTGGAGAGAGGAAAGGTCTGTTTCCAAAGGTGTGAATAGAGTTAAAACCAAGGAGGAATGGCAAAACACCCCAGGACCAGCAATAGTGGGAAGTCCTGAATACTCATAGGTGTACTGGGGAAAGATGTGGAAGTTATGGCATTAACAGAGTCCTTCCCCCTTAGGAAAGGAAAGCAGGCTCTGCCAGAACAGGAAGAGAGCAGAGGTTGTGGGGGAATAAATACTTTGACCACTCTTCCTGTCCTTCAGTCTCCTACCAGTTTCTATTACTGGCCAAACCCAACTGGAAGCTAGAGTGTAAGGGAAGCACTTAGTGTTAGTCCGTGTGTGTCAGCCTTCCTGGACACAGAACAGAATGGAGAAGGATGGAAAGTAGATTATGAGGGACAAATAGAGGTTTCCTGGATAGCCTTCTTACAGAAATTCAAATTCTGAAACAGAGTTCTTGTTGTTTGTGTCTGATAAGTTTTTTAGCTCTGTATTTGCTAATAAAGGCTATCAAGAATCTTGTTTCACCTCTAAATTACCCAGGTTTCTCTAAAGTGTATTAACAGTGAATCAGAATGACAGTGCTCTGAAAAATGTATTTTTATCCATTTAAAAAAAAAGGGGCTATATGATTTGGTCTTCCATAAAAAAGAAAAAAATTATTTGCCTAGTTTGTAGTTGACACTCTTACAGTGAGTAAAAAGGAAATGAAAACCAACATTTTTGTGAGTTTCCTAGACAAAGCCATTTCTTGCTGTAGATGAGTAGTTACTTGTAAGACTGGTTTAATTAGTGCTGCACTCAGATGTCAAAGAATGTGGGAGTTTGTTTTAGTCTTGACCTCAGCCTACTCAAAAGGAAAATAATACATGGTTTAAAGAATTAAATGCTGTAATTTACAAGTAAGCTCTCACACCAAATGAATTTGAAATAAGTATCAGAGGGAAGCATTTAAAATTTGGCAAGGGAATAAAGATTTTAAGATTGCAGCAGTTTTTTTTACTGGAGGGAAAAAATATCCCAATTTAATTGGGCTTCTTTACAGGTTGCCGCTGTAAGTGCCTTTGCCCAGACTCTGCGAAGATACACGTCGCTCAATCACCTGGCCCAGGCAGCTCGTGCAGTCCTTCAGAACACGTCTCAGATCAACCAGATGCTCAACGACCTCAACCGAGTCGACTTTGCCAATGTCCAGGTACTCAATTTTCTTTCAAAATGTCTCTTAAGGAAAGACACCTCATTTTTTCTTCTTGATTAGGATTGTCATATTGCTTTTCAAACTTTCATCAATACACAGACAGCATCTATATTCACAATGTCCTGAAATAGGAGAGTTTTACTTCAGCTATGACTTTAACTGTGGTTGAAGTCCATGAAGATTCATAGAACTAGATGGCAACATGTCACTCGGGCTTGCTGAATAGTTAATGAAGTAAGGATA